GGGAGCGATTGCTGGGCAGGACTCCCAGTCTTGCTTCTGGTTCCGTGGGGTCATTCGTGCTCCCTGGACCAAAGTTCCGCCTCCCTCTTCAGGTGGGTCTTGGAGAGTTTATCATGATAGTGGCGATTTTCATGGTAGTGGGGGCCTGGGGCAAGGGTCCGTCGAGGACCCCATCGTCGTCTTTGGGGGCGCGAACGGTGGCGAAGATAGCCGCGACTCTCGGCTTCGGCGCGTCGGCGTCGCCGCCTGCACCCTTGCGAGTTCCAGCCAGCCCGAGGTCCGTGCTGCTGTTTTCGGTCCGTTGCCAGGTCTTGTGCAAACTGTTCCGTGCGGGGAGCTGCGGGGGCCCCTTTGGGCCATCAAGTTCCCCTACGGGGCTCTGGTGCACATCACCGACAACGGGGTTATCGAAGGGTGGTTCAATAAGTTATATATGACCCCGTCGGGTCTAATCAAGCAATCTAAAAACTCATCGGCAAAGCTCTCGATGGTCGTGATATTTCACTGGTCACTGCCATGCAAGTGCCCTCTCACCTCGAGGCCTCCCTGGCGGTTGCGTCTTCTCGGCCTGAGTGGATGTTCGTGCGAAATCAAGCAGCAGACGAGTTTGCCCGCGTGGCAGCCGCAGAAGCTCGCGTCAGCATCGTGGTCCGAGCTAAAACTGCACAGGTCGAGAGCGACGCTGCAATCGTCCGCGCGCGTCTCCTCCGTTCTACGCCGGGGGCCATCACGCGTGCTCCTCCGAGGCCCAGTGCATCGAGTTCAAGGCAGGAGCGGCCCCTACCTCCCCCCTCTCCTTGCACGGTCTCGGTGTTTGAGACCGTCCACAGCCCCGACGAGTCGTCGAGGCGATGCGCGCGTTGTTTTTGTAGCTCGTCTGCCGACGCCGCCACTCTGTGGCGAAAAAGCCCGCGCTTCCCCCCTGTGCCCGTTGATTCATACTTTATAGGCTGCCGAGGGGTCGACAGGTACATATCGGGGGGGGGGCTGGGTCCACGAATCCCACGAAACGGTTTATCATGTGTCTCTGAAGTGTTGGGTGTGTAAGAAGTGCGGTTCGTTCGCCAGTCTGCAGCTGAGGCCAGCCCGGGCCAAAGCGCGCGACGATGTGTTGACCGACACTCGCAAGATGTACATTCAGAGGTTTTCCGATGGGCTATGGCCAAAGGATCAGCGTAAGTCCTCGAACCGAGCGAAGTCCTCGTAGTTCGGGTCTGGCTTGTTGTCGCTCTGTCACTCTTCGCACCGCGATGGGGCCGATTCCGATTCCGATTCCTCCTCATCCTCCTCCTCCTCCTCCTCCTCCCCCTCCTCCTCCCCCTCCTCCCCCCCCTCCTCCTCCTCCTCCTCCTCCGCCCCCATCCGCCTCCTCCGCCTCCTCCCCCTCGCCCCCCCCTTCTTCGTCTTCGCCTTCTTCTTATTATTCGTATTATTCTTCTTCGTATGACTATTATTCGTCTTCGTAGTCGGATTATCCTTATTGTTCGTAGTCTTCTTAGTCTTATTATTAGTCTTATTGGTATTCGTCTGCTTCGTATTATTGGTATTATTCTTCTTAGTCGCATTAGTGTTCGTAGTCTTCTTCTTATTATTAGTGTTCGCCTTACTCTTCTTATTATTAGTGTTCGTCTTCGTCGTAATATTATTCGTCTTATCCGTATTACGCTTCTTCTTATTATTCTTATTATGATGATTATGATTATGAGTATGAGTATTCTTCTTATGATTATTATTATCAGTGTTAGCATTCGTAGTATGATTCGTCTTCTTCGTATTATTATTATTGATATGATTAGTATAACTCATATTATTAGTCTTATTCATATTAGTAGTACTATCCGTCTTATTCTTCTTACTATTATTATTCGTCGTACTATTATGATTCGTATTCCTCTTCTTATTCTTCTTATTCTTCTTAATCGTGTTATTACTATTATTCATCTTCCTCTTCCTATTCCTCCTCCTCCTCCTCCGCCTCCGCCTCCGCCTCCGCCTCCGCCTCCGCCTCCGCCTCCACCTCCGCTCCGCCCCCGCCTCCGCCTCCACCTCCGCCTCCGCCTCCGCCTCCGCCTCCGCCTCCGCCTCCGCCTCCGCCTCCGCCTCCGCCTCCTCCTCCTCCCCCTCCCCCTCCCCTTCCCCCTCCTCCCTCCTCCCTCCTCCCTCCTCCCTCCTCCCTCCTCCCTCCTCCCTCCTCCCTCCTCCCTCCTCCTCCTCCCCTCCTCCCCTCCTCCCTCCTCCCTCCTCCCTCCTCCCTTGTGTAGCCATTCATGGCAGGTTCCGCGGTACCCTTTGGCGATTGCTTTCGTTTCCCTTTTAGTTCCCTTTTGGTCCCCTTTGGTTCCTTTTCGTTCCACGGCGCCGCGCGTTGTCATGATGGCGAAATCATGTCCTTCCCATCGTCACCTCACCCGCATCAATCGATTCATTCGCGCCATCGGAGTTTTGCGAGTTGGCGAAACTTCGTCCGTGCCAAACTCGTTTGGTCCTTCAGTCTTGAATGAGCGTCACCCACTGGGCCCAATCCGTGGTGGCGCAAGTAGCAGCCTTGAAATGTCACAACCCGTCGCGTCGCGTTTAAAGGCAGCGTGGCACCACCCGCCTTTGATCAGAGGTGGTGGCGAAAGCGGCACCGCGGTCGGCTCTTTTGGCGATTGTCCCTTGGCCTCCCTTGGAGGGCTCGCCCACCTCCTTGTGGTGTCTGGAGTTGCGTGCAAATCTACTGCAAAAAATCCTCCTCCTCCTCCTCCTCCTCCTCCTCCTCCCCTCCTCCTCCCCTCCTCCTCCTCCTCCTCCTCCTCCTCCTCCTCCTCCTCCTCCGCCTCCTCCCTCCTCCTCCTTCCCCTCCTCCTCTCCTCCTCCTCCTCCTCCTCCTCCTCCTCCTCCTCCTCCTCCTCCTCCTCCTCCTCCTCCTCCTCCTCCTATCTCAGAGCTTCCCCATTTGAGGGTTGTACCTCATGCCAGTAAGCCATAGTTTTTGCATTTTATTAGAAGCCATGTTTTTCATCATTCTTAGATTCAGCTCCTCCTCCTCCTCCTTCCCCCCCTCCTCCTCCCCCCTCCTCCTCCCCCTCCTCCTCCTCCTCCTCCGCCTCCTCCTCCTCCTCCTCCCTCCCTCTCCTCCTCTCCTCTCCTCCTCGTCCTACGCTCCTCCTCCTCCTCCTCCTCCTCCTCCTCCTCCTCCTTCCTCCTCCGTGTCCTCGTCCTACTCCTCCTCCCCCTCCTCCTCTCCTCCTCGTCTTCCTCCTACTGTTCCTTCTCCTCCTCCTCCTCCCCCTCCTCCTCCTCGTGGTACTACTGGACACTACTAGTGGTACTATTGGACACTGCTGGTGGCACTACTGGACACTACTAGTGGTACTACTGGACACTACTAGTGGTACTACTGGACACTACTAGTGGTGCTACTGGACACTACTAGCGGTACTACTGGACACTACTAGTGGTGCTACTGGACACTACTAGTGGTGCTACTGGACACTACTAGCGGTACTACTGGACACTACTAGTGGTACTGCTGAACACTACTAGTGGTGCTACTGGACACTACTAGTGGTACTACTGGACACTACTAGTGGTACTACTGGACACCACTAGTGGTACTACTGGACACTACTAGTGGTACTACTGGACACTACTAGTGGTACTACTGGACACTACTAGTGGTACTACTTGACACTACTAGCGGTGCTACTGGACACTACTAGTGGTGCTACTGGACACTACTGGCGGTACTACTGGACAGTACTAGTGGTACTACTGGACACTACTAGTGGTGCTACTGGACACTACTAGTGGTGCTACTGGACACTACTAGTGGTACTACTGGACACTACTAGTGGTGCTGCTGTGCTGGACACTACTAGCGGTACTACTGGACACTCGTAGTGGTGCTACTGGACACTACTAGTGGTGCAACTGGACACTACTAGTGGTACTACTGGACACTGCTTGTGGTACTACTGGACACTACTAGTGGTACTACGTACTACTGGGCACTACTTGTGGTACTACTGGACACTACTAGTGGCATACACACGTACATCCATACCTACACGTACACATACGTACGTACACCACATACACACCTCCTCCTCCTGTTCCGCCCCCTCCTCCTCCGCCTCCTCCTCCTCCCTCTATTCCCCTTTCGCGTCATTTATGCCGCGTGTGGGGGGGGGGGGGGGGGCCATGGCCACCCCCTCACCGTCAAAAACGACGCCCGGTGAAACTAGAAGCTTTAACCTCTAAGCACCTCCTCCAGGTTTCCTCCTCCTCCTCCTGTTCCTCCTTCTCCTCCTCCTCCTCTTCCTCCTCCTCCTCCTGGGTCCTCGAACGCGCGCCGAAGATTGCCCAACCCCGCGTTCCACTGTTCAAGAATGTCCGCAGAGATCACTTCGGGCCCGTAAAGCTCGGCGCACATCCGCGTCTGGTCGGCGCACTCCGGGGGCACGTCCTCGACGTTGACGAACTCCTCCACGTAAGCAGAAGGAGATACTTGTAGAGGCGGATGGCCGCCCCCGTAATCTGACAACGGCTATCATCTAGCGACCTGCCCACCCCGACGCGCAAACATAAATTGGCCTGGTGGGAGGCGCATTTGTTGACCACGAGACTCACTGGGATGCCGCCGTCGGCGGCGATCTTCCGCACGCGGTCCGCCACGCACCCCGCTTCGGCGAGGTTGGTCCCGACCCCGTCGCCAGCGAGAATCCATGCGATGCGATGGCCCCGGCCCCTGGGGCAATGGCGAACAAACTCATTATATCCGACGCCGTGCCTGCACGGCAATGACGCGGTCAAATGCCTGTGGCCTGAGTGGTAGGGTTTCTGTATATTTCTAAGGGCCCCCCACCCTTCTCTCCGCGCTGGCCTGCGTGCACCGCTCTCTCTCCCTGAAAGCCGCCGAGCGCCCTGACACCCCTCTCCCCGAACCCCTGGGCCCGTGGCGCGGGGGCGGACTTGCCGAAGGCAGCTGGATAAGTCTTCAATGACAGCGAGCAAGCCTGCGGCAAGCGTCTGGTGATCCTTCCTCTCCAAGGCTTGGAGCTCAGTGAACCACCGCAGAGTGACGCCTCCAGCGCTCACAGATATAGAATGGTTGAGGACTTCGCTGTACCTGCCCCTGCGCAGCTCGGGCCCGACGCCCTCCGTGAACGACCGGGCTCTCATGCCCGCCTCGTCGCGCACATGATTCACGATCACGGGCGCGCCCTCGGGCAAGTTCCGAACGAACTATTGGACCTCCTTCCGACGCAGCGCCTCCGAGGAGAGAGAGAGAGAGAGAGGAGAGAGAGAGAGAGAGAGAGAGAGAGAGAGAGAGAGAGAGAGAGAAGAGAGAGAGAGAGAGAGAGAGAGAGAGAGAGAAGAAGAGAGAGAGAGAGAGAGAGAGAGAGAGAGAGAGAGAGAGAGAGAGAGAGAGAGAGAGAGAGAGAGAGACAGAGAGAGAGAGAGAGAGAGAGAGAGAGAGAGAGAGAGAGAGAGAGAGAGAGAGAGACCCAGTTCGCCATTTGGCCCCATTTGTTTGCTTGGCCGAGTTTTTCTTTGACACCGCTTGCATGCTTGACCCAGTTTTTTTAGCTGAGCTCAGTTTTTGTTTAGCCCGGTTTTTGTTCGACCCATTTGTTTTGCTTGACCCCATTTTTGTTGATTGACCCCGTTTGCTTGCTTGACGCAGTTTTGTTTTGCTCGACCCCGTTTTTTCCTTGACCCCGTTTGTTTGTTCGACCCAGCTATCTTGCTTGGCCCCGTTTTTTGATGGACCCGTGTTTTTTTGTTGGACCCGTTTTTGCTTGACCCCGTTTGTTTGCTTATCCCCGTTTCGTTGCTCGACCCCGTTTTTTGTTTGACCCCGTTTGTTCGCTTGGCACCTTGGTGATCTCACAAAAGGTGTCGCGAGCGAACGTCGCACTCCCCTTGGAAATGCGCTTCTGCTCCTCTATGGAGAAATCTCTCATGAGCTCGCTGATCGTCTCGGCCGGCAGTGTAGGCGCCGCCGAACCTCGGGGCCCTCGCACCGACCTATCCACCTTTTCGCCCCTCCCCCCCGAATCACCTGCCGGCTGTCTGAAGGGCCCGAAAACCCGCCCGAACGAGCCAGATATGCCGCAAGCGGCGATCCTGCTTCTCACCCTACTCGCCCTTCAACCTTCGTCGCAAATATCAATCCCACGCGCCGCCTGCGGCCGCCCCCCCCCCGCCCTTCGCGCACATCTCTGCGAGGTGGGCGCAAATCTGCCCTATGGACGCGCGGCCCCCGAGTCTTGGCTGCCAGACGTCGCGGACGGGGGGGGGCGGCTCACGGGGGCGACGCGCGGCATTGGTTACGACGCAACCGCTGCTCTGCTTCCGACACTCGTTGCCGGAGCCTCGTAGCCCGATCCCTGGCCGGCTTGCCACCCCATTTGCGTTTCCTGTCGGGGGAAACGCATTGTGCCATGTTTCACCATTCGCAACAAAAAATGCTTTCGAGCCGCGCCCAGCCGCGGTGACGAGTGCCACCCCAAGCTTGGAGAGGGGTCGTGGGCGACACGCCCTATAATCACTGCTTTGATTTGGGCCCCGCCCTCAATCTCCTGCCATAGAGTCGGACCCTGCCCGCGTTCACCCCGAATTCGCTCGCCAGGCGCCCGTCGGGGCCCGCGGCGCCAGGCAACGAATCCCCGTTGTGCCTTCGGACATACCTTCGGCGGCCGAAGCATTCGAGGGCGGGGGCGGCTGAACAGGGACCGCTGCGAAGCAACCCAGCCGCGACGGGCCCCTGGAATGTGCACGGCGCCGAAGAAGCGGTCTATGGCCTTCAGGGTGCCTGGAGCGGCCACATCCCCAGCCAAGACACCAGCGCGCAATCCCAGCAACGCCCGCGCGGCCGCCAGAGGGAGGTGGCGTTGCATGGCGGCCCAAGGCCCGCGCCAGATGCGATACGGTTATCTTGGCAACCTCGGAATGGCCTCGAGCCGCCGCGCGGGGGGCAATGGCGGGCCAGGCAAGGAGCAGCAGAGTAAAAGGGGGAGAGAAGCGGACGGCTGCAGGAGAGGAGATGAGGAACAGCAAGAAGCTGATAATCCGCCGAAGTGCCTTCGACACGATGTGGCGTGCTGGAAATATCGCTGTAAGCTGTCTGTCAAGGTTTCAGTGCACGTTTCTAGGGCCGACTCCCCGCAGTCGCCCCATCTCCAAAAGGCCCCCGTGCCGCTCGAAGGCGGCCCCAACAGGCCACGGAGCCTCCCACGGATGCCTGCGCTTCTCGCTTCCGTTTGGCTTATGAGGCCGGCCCCAAGATGGCCGAGGAGAGCTCCAAGACGGGGCCCAAGAGGGATCCACGGCGGCCCCAATAACGCCCAGCAGTGCCCCAAGAGGGCCCCGAAGGGCGAGACGCGACGTTTATGTCACCCCCTTCTTTGACCGATGTCCCCGAAGATAGCCCCAAGCTAGACCCCGGTGTCCTCAAGAGGGTACCAAGAGAGACCCGAAAGCCCCGAGAATAACTCCAGGATGGCTCCAATGTTGCCACGAACGGCCTCCGAGAAACTGCAAGAGAAATCCACTCTTCCTCTGCTCGCCCTCCTCCCTCCTATTTCTGATCCTCCCTCCTCCTCCCCCTCCTCTGCCTCCTCCTCCTCCTCCTCGTGTCCTCCCCCTCCCTCCTTCTCCCTCCTGCCGGCTATCCACTCGCTTTTCCCCCGCGCGCTCCTCAGCTCATGCCTGATTCTGAATGCAACCAAATCGCTCTCTCGCGAAAAAGAAAAGTGACGTGGGGAACCACGGGGGGGAGAACGGAACGGGAGGAGGGGGAAATGACGAAGAGCAAGGAGGAGGAGGAGGAGGATGAGGGTTTTTGTTGTCAGCTGCGCGAGCTTGCAGTTAGCGCACGTGCCCAAGTACAGTGAACGCGCGAGGACGTCGAGCTCGCGGTAAGCCGCCAGAGGCGCCAGACGGCCCGAAGAAGCCGTGACCGAAGCCGAGTGCCACACAGAGCGCAGACCCTGGGCGCCATGACATTAGAGGAGGGTGGGACGCATCGAAGCGACCAGAAAGGAAGTGGCGCACCGAGCCACCGCGCGCTGGCACCCGAACAAAAGCTAAAAGCGCAAAGGCCGACGAACGCCAAAGCGAACAACTTGCAAGGGTGGACCGTTGAACGAAAATTGGCAGGAGGACGGAAAAGGAACCAAAGGGAACCAATTCTTAAAAAAAGGTTGAGTATTTCGCCTCGTAACAACCTCCCATGAACGGCTACACAACCTCCCTCCTCCTCCTCCTCCTCCTCCTCCTCCCTCCTCCTCCTCCTTCCTCCCTCCTCCCCTCCTCCCTCCTCCCTCCTCCTCCTCCCGCCTCCCTCCTCCCTCCTCCCTCCTCCCTCCTCCCTCCTCCTCCTCCTCCTCCTCCTCCTCCTCCTCCTCCTCCTCCTCCTCCTCCTCCTCCGCCTCCTCCTCCTCATCCTCCTCCTCACACCCCCATCCTCATACTGCTGGTCCTCCCCGTTCCTCTCCTGCGCTCTCATCCTGTCTCTTCTTCGACCAGGAAACCAGCGCCAATGAGCGGTTTGATCGATCATGATCCGCCCCCTGCTAGAATGAGCCACATCGGGATAACGGAGGAACGCCTAGCCCTCCGCCACCACTCGGCCCAAGTGCTATACGCCACCATCAGGCGGCGAACGACACACGTCAGGATGCTTCACCTTCGTTATTGGTGATCGTGCTGGGAGAAGCTCCTCCTGGTAAGAAGGCACCTCCTGTGAGCCTCCTCCTCCCCCTCATCTAGGGGACCTGCGAACCGTTGCACGTTGCATGTCTCAGTCCGCAAGACCACGCGATGCGCAGAGATACAGAGAGAAGGAGGAAAGAGCGACAGGCAACGTCGCTTACATATAGGGGCTAAGGGACCTCCTGGGAGAAAACAAACGACGGGAGGGGGGAGGTCGGCTCCAGATTGCCTGCAAAGCCTGGTCATGGGCAGGGGACTGGATGATCCCCGTCATCGCTCACCCCCGTTGCATGCTCTCAGATACTTATCTCTCCTCCCCCCTCCCAGGTCTAGAACACCAGGGGGACACCCCGCTGCTCCTCATGCGCTCCGCTTCCTTATGAGCACCTCCCCTCTGTCGCGCCCCCAGACGTGTTGGCAGGGCGGATCTTGGCGTTTCGCCTGAGGCTTCCTCATCGCTTATACGATTCTGAAGTTTGACATTCGCAGCAGCTTCACGGATGGAGGGCGGGTGGCTTTGCAGAAAAACAGCGGCTCTCGCTCTAGCGCCATGAGCATATTCGTCTGAAAGTATGCAACCGTTTCAAGGACGGAGGGCAGGTCCATTTGTCAAAGCGATGCTATCACCTTAGCGCCACGCGCATTCGTTTTGGAAGTGTGCAGCAGTTTCGAAACATCGAATGGTTCCAGTCCCAGGAATGGTGTGCTGGGACGGTTCAGGCTTGTCAGGACGCAACAGTCACAGTGATTCGCGGCGCTGAAGTCCCAACGTGGTGATCTCAGACGGTCGATTTCCTATGGGGCACTTCGCGCAATTCAACTAACTCTTCTATGGGCCTATGAAGAGCGAACTTGGCAGAGGGTGTACTGCAACATGCTTGATGCGTCTTGGGTCTAAACTGGCCTGCTGCTGCTCCTCCTCCTCCTCCTCCTCCTCCTCCTCCTCATCCCTCCCCTGCTCTAACTCATTTGCGTCATCAGCAAACATCAGCATCAACAACAGCACCGTCATCACCGCCGCCCACAGATCACAACCACCACCACCAGATCAGAACCAGAATACCACCACAGGGTCATCGTCGCCATCAGGCCATCACCACCAGGCCAGCACCACCAGGCCAGCACCACCGCCGTCGTCGCCACCACCTCCTCCTCCTTCTCCTCCTTCTCCTTCTCCTTCTCCTCCTCCTCCTCCTTCGCCTCCGCCTCCGCCTCCTCCTCCTCCTCCTCCTCCGCCTCCTGCTCCTCCTCCCCTCCTCCTCCCCCTCCTCCTCCTCCCCCTCCTCCACCCCCTCCTCCTCCTCCTCCTCCTCCTCCTCCTCCTCCTCCTCCTCCTCCTCCTCTCCTCCCCTCCTCCTCCTCCTCCTCCTCCTCCTCCTCCTCCTCCTCCTCCTCCCCCCCTCCTCCTCCGCCTCCTCCGCCTCCTCCGCCTCCTCCGCCTCTCCTCCGCCTCCGCCTCCGCCTCCGCCTCCTCCTCCTCCTCCTCCTCCTCCTCCTCCTCCTCCTCCTCCCCACCACCCCGCACCAGTGCCCAGCACCACGCGCACGACGCCGGCACCGCGCCGCCTGTCGAACGGGCAGCCCTGCGGCGGCCCGTGCGGGCCCGGCGGCGGCATCGGCACCCCCGGCGGCGGCCGCGGCGGCACCTCTCGGGGGGCGTGCCGCCGCGGCGCCACGCCCCGCCCCGTGGTCGTCCTCTGCCTCTCCTGGGATGCACAAAGACATACTAGTACTATATCTTATCCTTCCAGGAGCGCGTCCGACCCATACATGTAGCATACCCATCTCGAGGTGTATCGTTTCCCGAGCGGTGTGGCCAGACTGTGCCCGCCACGAGGGCGACGCACATATAGAATAAGTATGTTACAGTGACGCCGAGATCTCCTCCGCTTTCGAGATCCTCCCTGTCCTGGTCCTCCGCAGTCTCGTCCTCCTCCTCCTCCTCCTTCCCTCCAGTGTTTGCACGCTCTCGGGCTACGGGCGATGCAGAGTCCATGCTCGACGCATGGCGCGCTGCCCTCGACCAGGAAGCAGGAGGACACCCGACGTCGAGGGAGGGGGCTTCGCGCCTGGGGAGTGCAGCCTCCCCCGGCCTCCTTGTCCTTCTCGTCCTCGTCCTCTTCTTACAGTTCCTCTTCATCTTCCTCCTCCTCCACGTCCTCCTCGCTCTCCTCGTCCTTCTCGCGCTTCACAGCCTCCTCCACGTTACTCTCGTCGCCTTTGTCTCCAGACTGACGAGGAGAAGGTGGAGGACGGCAAGGAGGTAAGAGGACGAGAAGCGCGAGGATCCCGTCCACCGTTCGTTGTTACTGCTCCTGATCGGCCTTCATCATCATTTCTCCCGCGTGTCACCTGTCTCATCCAATCCTTCCTCATCCTGCATCTCTCTGGATCCTGCTCCTGATCGTGCGTCTCGTCCTCATGACCATACTGTCACATGGCTTTTGGCTTTCTCCGTAACATAATGTTTGTTCGATCGGCGACGACAAGACAGACTGTAATTATTTGGCGAGGATCGTACCAGCATAATCATGCAATCGGACATCCTTCTGCGCATTCCGAGCTGTTCGCATTAGAGCCAGGAAATTGCGCATGACTAAGAAAGAGGAAGACGATGATAGTGTAAGTGCGCAATGTGCAATCAACCGCCAGACTACAGACGCACAGTAAACATGCACCTAGGATCCCTGTTACAGTCGATCAAAGTTGGCGGAGGATGAGCAAAACAACACACACACACACACATGCAAGGGCAGTCCTGATAACGCCCTGCATCCGTACTACAATGTCTGACTGCGTTCAGAGCGGCATCATGATATTCTTGGACGCCCCTGTTGCAAGCGTGAAAAGGTGGCAGGCCGAAGCACGTGGCCGAGCAGACAGGAATCCAGCGAGCAGCCTCGACGAGACGCCGCATCCTGGTTGTTCTGTGCCCGACTGCACTCCCGCACCTGTCCCCGACCTGGGCACATGGCGGCCCGACCTGCCCGAGACGTGGGCCATGGGCCTTCTCGACCACCTTGCCCAGGGCCTGGCAGCTCCATGTGCGGCTGCTCATTCGCTGGCCCGGGGCCAGATTCTACTTCCAGGGACCCGAATCGAGCCGCCAAATGCTGGCACGAAGGAGACGGACCCTGAGGCGAACGTGTCTACGCTGGGGCGCTCCCTCGGGACCAGCTCCCCATCCCGATTCGCGCATCGAGCCCGCAAGGCGAGAGTCGCGGCGAGTCGCCGGGCGGAAATTTGCGCGCAGACTTTGCAATCAGTGGGCGCTAAGGAACCTGCCTCGACGAGGGTGGGGTACCAGTCGTTGCAATACTTCCTGGGGGCATACTTGCGCCCCCTGAGGGACTTGGCGGGCTTGGAGACCAGCTGAGGACCTTTCGGGGCCCACGGGGCGAGACGTGCGTGAGGGGTGTACCGAATTGAGGCTCCGAGAAGCGTCTCGGGGGCCGACTTAGCGCCCAACGTTCACATAGTGCGTGAGAGGTGTGCCGAATTGAGGTTCACATCAAAATGGAAGAACAGAAGAACAATTCACTAGTGCGTTTACGTCTCCCAGGAGATTCAAGAACCGGATCACTTGTTCTTGTGACGTGTCCCAAGAGCCTGAGAGCGCATATCGGTCGTATTGTCATGTGTCCTACTAGGAGTGTGGAGCAGGAGATGTATGAGGGGTGTCTAGAATTGAGCCCTACGTGGCCGCCGGAGCGCAATCATTCGTATTCTCACGTGTCACTGTAGAATGAGGAGCAGGAAATACGCGAGGGGTGTGCGGGAATGGCAGTGCCGTAACCATGAAGGCGTTGATCACTCGTTCTTTCCGCGTCCCGCACAAATGTCAGGAAGAAACTGCGCGAGCGGTGCGCGGAAACAAAGCTTGCGCAGTCCCGAGGGCGCACCTCACTCATGCTTTGAAATGTCTCAGGAGCTGTCACGCGCGTGGGCACAGCGCTGGGAGCAGGTTTCACTTGTATCTCCACGTGCCCCAAGAGAATCACTAAACTCTGCCATCTTGAGGCCGGTGGGATGCGCGAAATTCCCCCCTTAGCATGCCTCATGCGTGTCAGTCTCGTCATCCTCCAGTGCATCATCATTTATCTACCCTCGACGCCTACAACACGGCCAGGGCCCGCAGGAGGCCCGTCGAATGAAACCCGAAGAGCAGGAGTCACGGCGGGCCCCCCAGAGTGAAGTTTGCAGGCAAATGTTGCAGTCAGTGGGTGTTAGGGAAACTGCCTCGACGAGGGTCGTTAGCAGTCGTTGAGGCCACGTTGGCGTCCCGCGGTGGATTCTGTTCAAAGCGCCCTCCGAGGAAGATTGTCGAGGATGTCTCGAGCGAAACGGTCATTAGTAAGACTCGGAACCCCCTCCGTGGCGTAGTTGTCGAGGATGTCCCTAGCGAATCCCACCAGCCCTCTGGGCGTCGGTGGTTTAGGGCGTTTCCTCTTCCACCCCTCCCTCGGCGGGGAGCGGTCAGAGCGTCCAAAACGGCCTCGGCGAGAAAGCCAACATCATTGATTTTACTATGGTTTTGGCCCCATGTTGGCCTTCTGAGGGGGCAGCGCTAATTAGAGCTCCCCTCTTCTTTGATCGATTTCCTCCACGATGGCCGCAAGAGGCCCCCAGGATGCCCCAAGAGGCCGCAGGATGGCCCCAAGATGGCCCCAAGAGGCCCCCCAAGAGGCCCCCAGGAGGCCCCCAAGAGACCCCCAAGAGGCCCCCAAAGGCCCCAAGATGGCCCCAAGAGGCCCCAAGAGGCCCCCAGGAGGCCCCAAAGAGGATCCGAACGGCCCACAGAGGCCCCCCCGAGGCACCCAAGACGCCGAAAAGCCCCTCAGGACGACCCTCTACTCGCCTGGGCGTCGTTTCTGGACGGGCTGGTGGGGATACGCGAAGCGTCTAGAATTGTTGTTGTCGAGGATGTTCCGAGCAAAACTGCAATGTTTGAGATTCGAGGTCCCATCCGAAACCGCTTTGACTAGGATGTCCCGAGCGAAACGGCAATGCTAGGCCATCGGAACACGTCTCACTCTTTTCTTGACGTGTCCCACGAGCTGTGACGTGCTTGGGCCCCGCACAGGGAGCAGGTTTCACTTGTTTTCCTACGCATCCCACGATCATTGATACACACTGGCCTCATCGAAGCTCCCTCGAAAATTCGTCGAAGCATCGTCGGACAGCGGAATCTGCGAAGCCCCCCTAACATGCCCCGCGCATGTCAACTTCACTCTCCCCCATTCCATCATCAACTCCTTACCGCCATTGGAAGCTACATCACGGCCAGGGCCCGCAGGGGGGCCGCCGAATTGAACCCGCAGAGCGGGAGTCACGGCGGGCACCCAGGGGGACGTTTGCGGGCAGATGCTGCCTCGGCGAGGGTCGGTACCACTCGTTGCCATGTTTCTTGGGGCCAACATTGGCGCCCCGTGGAGTGTCGGACGGCCTCCCGGGGAGTGCGGAGCAGAGCGTGGGTGAGGGGCGTACCGAATCGAAGCCGCCGTGGCCCTGCGAGGGCAAACCAATCGGATTTGCACGCGCCCCAGGGTAATCTTGTCAGGCAGGAGGGGCGCGAAGGGTGCGCTGCAACTTTATACTTTCGTAGCCCTCGGAGCGCGGACCACTCGTATTTTGTCACGTGCCCCAGGAGCCTGAGAGCGCAGATGACTTATATACATACATATATATGTGTATATATATATACACATAGATACAAAAAAAGAGAGCGGAGGTGCGGCTGCCCTCTCTTCGGGCCTCTCCGGGCCGGCCAAGTGCCTGAGGCCCCTCTCGGGATGACTTCCGCATCGTGCTTCCCCCTCGCCTCCATCCCTAACGCGGCGAGGGCCCGCAGGGGGCCCGCCGAGCTCCAGCGCTTCGCTCGGTCCGCCAGCGGCCTCTTCGGGCTGGCGGGGCGCGCGAGGCCACTCTTGGCATGACCTGTGCGTGCTGCTCCCTCGCCCCCATGGCCCGCAGGGGGCCCGCCGAATTCCAGCGCGTCGCGCGTTCCGCCGGCCCATGCTGCGTGTAGTGCGTGGTGGCCAGACGGGGCCGTGGACAAGGGGCCTCCTGGTGCCTCTCGGGGGTTTCGTGGGGGCACCTGGAGGGATCTGGAGGGGGGGCCCTTGGGGGCTTGCTGGCGGTCTCGAGGGCCATCTTCGGAGAAAAGGCCTCCATGGCAGTTCGGATTCCCCTCGGGGCTCTGTTAGGGGCCTCGGGGTCCCTCTTGGGAAGGGCCTCTTGAAACGTCTTGAGGCCCTCTTCGGCCGTCTTGGAGCCGTCTTTGGGCCATCTTGGGGCCTGCAATCCACCCATTGATCCGGACTCGCGGGTCGTCTGGGATCTCCCTTAGGGTTCCCTGTAGCGTTCCTTGGAGCGCCCTGAGAGGCCCTGAAAACCGCCCGCGGGAGGTCTGGCATCCTCGACGGGAATCTGATGGGTTACTTTTCGCAAGGGGACCCACAGGGACCGTCGCGCACGCGTGAACTAGAAATACTGCTAACCTTTTGACCCGGGGTTTTAGCAAGCCTCTGCCCCCCGCAAGGCTGGAGAATGATAACCGGTCAAGGGGCTCACGGAGGGCCCAGCGAGCCGGCAAGCGGCGGGAAAACGCAGGACACGATCCCCTCAGGACCCCATTGCCTCATGGCGAGGATGCCTCGGGGTGGGGGCGTCCTGTGGCGCCTGGGGGGGCCTGCCCCGAGTCTTCGCTTCGGGGGTCTTGGGCGACTCTTGCGGTCGCCTTGGGCCGTTCTGGACGGGGCTACGCAGAGGGCCTGCAAAGAGCTCTGGGCCAGCTCGCCTGGTGTTTAGTCCACCCGGATGCTTCCGCCAGGACATCCAGTTTCCCATGTGCGGGAGAATCATGGTGCATGTCGGTAGCTATCCATTCCAAAATCCGTTTCTCCGGCCCGCACCTGAGGGGCAACGATAGGGGGGGGCTGGCATGGAGGGGATACATCGACCTGGAATCGGCGACCCCTCGTCGACAGGTCGGCGATAAGCCCCCGACAGCGAATCCGCACCTGCCTGGGCAAGTTGGGGCTATCTGGCCCCTATCGGTGATAAATGGCCGAAGAGTGGTCGATGCATCCCCCCTGTGCCTATCCCCCCTTCTCGGTGCCCATGCCCAGTTATCCAGCTGCTCCAATCTTTGCAGTGCATGGGCCCTTGATGTCTGGATGGGTCGTCCTGAGTTGTTTTTTGACGGTCCCGAGGCCCGGCGAGGGCCCCTGGAGGCCGAAGCAAGCCAAAACCAGACACTAACCTTTTCGCAGCGCCGGACCTCTGGGTGAGCCCCTCCCGGGCGGCACCTCGAAGGGCCCACCCGGCGGCGCCGCATCGAAGGGCGGGCGCCCGTCCAGCGGAGGCCTGGCGCGGTGTCGGCCGCGGCAGCCGGCATGGCAGCGGCGGCCGCGCGGGCAACGGCAGCCTCGCCATCGCTCGGACGTCCGTCTGCATTCTTCCTTCTCGCGCGCTCGCTTCTTCGCAAGAGGATCCAGGAGGCGCCTCGAGGGCCCCCGCCGGGGACCACAGAAGGCGCAGAATCCGAGCGATGACGGGCAGCGGCAGGGAGCGCGGCTCCTCCTCCCCCTCCCCCTCCCCCTCCCCCTCCCCCTCCTCCTCCTCCTCCTCTCCTCCCTCCTCCTCCTCCTCCTCCTCCTCGTCCTCCCCCTCCCCTCCCTCCTCCCCTCCTCCCTCCTCCCTCCTCCCCTCCTCCTCCTGCCTCCTCCTCCTCCCCTCCTCCTCCTCCTCCCTTCCTCCTCCTCCTCCTCCCTCCTCCTCCCTCCTCCCCTCTCCTCATCCTCCTCCTCCCTCTCCTCCTCCTCCTCCTCCTCCTCCTCCTCCTCCTCCTCCCTCCTCCTCCTCTCCTCCTCCTCCTCCTCCTCCTCCTCCTCCTCCCCTCTCTTCCTCCTCTTCCTCCTCCCCCTCCTCCTCCTCCTCAGCCTCCTCCTCCTCTCCTCCCTCCTCCTCCGCCGCCGCCCGCCTCCGCCTCCGCCTCCGCCTCCGCCTCCGCCTCCGCCTCCTCCTCCTCCTCCTCCTCCTCCTCCTCCTCCTCCTCCCGCCCCCCCCCGATCCCAGCCACGAATGGGCACCGCTGGTCCTGACCTGGCCGGGAGCGGGGTGCGTGAGCGGGTAGCTCCCGCTCCCCGAGAGGGTAAGCGGGAGAGAACGGGGGAAACCTGGCTCTCGTCATTGCACGGAGGTTCCTCCGCGACGCTGGCAGAGTGCTAGAGGAATTCCGCAACTTTGGGAACCGTGATTCCCTGGCCACCATTCCTCAGAGCGCAGAGCTCTTCAGCTTCTCAGGAGGCGGGGACTTCCAGGCTCCTCGGAAGCGCGCGCGGCCATCCAGACAGCCAGCCGTCCAACCGACTTGTATCGCGGACGCGGGATCCTGCACGCTGACCCGGGTCAGTGCACCTCTGGCTCTGCAGGGTCCCGCAAGATCCGGCGCTCTGGCTGACCCCCGTTTGCATCGACCCCCGTCTCAAGGCTCCCCACTGTACCGGCGGTGAACAAACCTCTCTTTAGCAAACCTCCCCTTAGCGAAAACGGTCTGGGACCAAAGCCGACGGAACTGGACCCGCAAAACTGACGGCCGCGACGCCCTCTCGCGAACCGAAAACGGCCAGTTCCTTAATCGACGTGTCAGGGCAGGAGGTCTGTCCGCCTCCGACTGTACCCCTCCAGCCAAACAGCCACGCGGCCAGCCGGTCCAGCCGACCCTGGGCACGCTGCTGGCAATCAGAGGGAGTGCGGTCGGCTTCCGCGGGTCTCCACAGGGCCCGCGGGCGCCTCCGGAGGTCCCGGGGAGAGGGCCACGCACGCCCGCGAGGGAATCGGAAGCCACTGCGGCAGGTTCGTGTCGTGGCGACCCCGGCGCTGGTTTTTCTGACACCGCGTGGCTCGCTCAAACTCGGCACGATCGGCGGCGTTTCGATCGCCGGATCGTTCCGCATCGGTCGACTCTCCGGGCCACTGGCGGTCGACTCAACCTTGAAAACGCCCGCGGCGGGGTCGCCGACGCGTCGGGACGACGCAAACCTGCCGTACCACCCTGCTGCGTGGCTGCGTTTCGCGCCCCACGGGCGCACCGACGCCCGACCGCCGCCCGAGCGCAGCGTCGGCGGCGAGGCCTTTGTCTTCACGGCGAATCGTCGAACGACGTATGCTTCATGTGATACACTGCGTTCTGCTCACACAATCGGGGGCGCGCAAACATGGATCAGCGATCCATGGATTTGGCGCGGGGTCGCCAAATCCGCGGATCGGGGGAGGTGCCCTCCCCAAAATGCGGCCGGTGCCGCCTCGCTCGGCGGCGGAAATCCGCGATTTCCAACGGAAACGGGACCCGTCGCCAATCCACGCCCCCTTGATCCGTGCTTGCGATCGCCTGAGACAGCCAAGGCGATACGGGCTCACCACGTCATGGTGAGCCCGTATCGCAATATTAAGAACGCAGGCGTCGGCGGCGAGGCGCGTGCGAGGGCCTCGCCTGGCTCCGTCGCCCGGGCGAGGGGCCGCGAGGAGGCGGCGGGCGCCAGGCAGGCAGCAAGCGCAGGCGGCCTCCCTCCTTTTTCCCCTCCCCCCCTCCCCGGCAGCGCGGGTTCGCCGAGGAGGACCTCGCGGCCCGAGGCGTGTGCGCGGGCGGGGGGGGGCAGGAATTACAGTCAGACTTTCTTGGACCAGGCGCCCGGAGAGGACACGAGACTCGTTCCGACGGCAGCGTGGCCCCAGAACACCAAAGGACGTTGGACATGGAGGTTGCTAGGTCGGGGTAGACAGGACAGAAGGGTGCCCTCGATGTGGCATGGCCGAGCTACCAGTCAGGGACGACTGTAATTCATGGAGACACCTGGAGGATCTCATGGCCCCGGCCAGGAGATCCACACTTTTGCATCCGACGTGCCAGCCATGCACTTCCCTGTGCGGCAGCATGGCTGAGCGATACTCCCAGGTGCGTGCACGGGCGACCAAGGGTCGAAACAAGTAGGCGGCGCAGAGCAGAGAGCTGACGAGCGGCAAAGGGAGGCACACACACAAACACACGCGCACGCACACGCAGGAGCACACGCACACACGCACACACAAACACACACACACACACACACACACACGAGCACACGCACGCACGCACGCACGCACGCACGCACGCACGCACGCACGCACGCACGCACGCACGCACGCACGCACGCACGCACGCACGCACGCACACACACACACACACACACACACACACACACACACACGAACACACGCACAAACGCAAACACACACACACATGCCCACACACGCACACACGCACACACGCACTCACGCACACATGCACACACACACACACTTTCCTCGGCGAGCGCTCGTTCCGCGACACGCTGATCAGTCGGCGGGGGCGTGAGAGCTTGGGTGTGAGGAGCGCGAGGCCAGTGTCCCAGGGGTCAGGATCGGAACGAGAGACGGATACTCACACAGATAGAGACACGCATCCCCAGGTCCTCTTGGATCCTGGAGGTCCCGAAAAGAGGCGGTGGCAGACAGCGCAATGATCTCGGAATCCCCAAAGACCTCACCTCACGGTCCATCACCGCACGGTTCTGGAACATTGCGAGCCCCAGACGCCCGAAGCGCCCTCGGAGAAGGACCGGTCCCCAGACCGTGCGGCCACGCCTGCTCCCCACGGACGGACTCACGCCACCGCGTGGTCACTGATACGGATCCCCCACCCCATCCCCTCTTTGGGAAACCAGGAGGCACCGGTTCTGCTGCTCCCTGGGCCTCTCCTGGGGTGCGCTCTGACCAGAATTTCGAGGCGCATCCAGCGGTGGCGACGAGGTCTTCCCAGGAGGCCCCCAAGGGGAAGAACGAGGGAAGGACATCGGTATGTGACCGTGTTTTATGCATTGTTTTGCCGATCGGCGCGGTCCCTCGACCCCCCCCCATGGAGTAGATATTGGCTGTTTTGGGCGCCTGTTTGGAGCAGGTGGAGGCTCCCCACAGGACGCACTGTCGCAAACAGTCGCCCTAAGCAGAGGTCCAGAACCAGGCCCCTCTTCGCTCAATGCCGAAACGCTCAACCCCTCCCACCCTCTTCGCTCAATGCCGAAACGCCGAATCAGAAAACGCCAACGATGGGTACCTTCTCTCCCTCTGACGAGGAGCACGGCGCGGGCCGGCCTTCTGAGGTGCGGCGGCGGCCCCCGGGGGTCGAATGGCGCCGGCGGGGGGCCGCCTGGGTAGGGCGGCGGGCAGCCACCGCCTGCTGGGGGGCACGCGGGCGCTCGCGCCGCACCGCCGCGGGCGCGTCCTGCTGCCAGCTGCTGCTGGCTGCTGCTGCTGCTGCTGCTGCTGCTGCTGCTGCTGCTGCTGCTGCTGCTGCTGCTGCTGCTGCTGCTGCTGCTGCTCCTCGCGGCTTTGGTAGATGAGGGCGCGTCCAGGATGATCCTGGGTGACCCCCGCCTCCTCCTCCTCCTCCTCCTCCTCCTCCTCCAAAGCCATGACGGCAGAAAGGTCGCCCAGATGTGATCCACCTCCTTCTCCTCCTCCTCCCAGCTTTGGCAGATGAGGCCAACATGATCCTCAGTGACTTCCTCCTCCTCCTCCTCCTCTTCCTACTCCTCCTCCCCCTCCTCTCCTTGTCCTCCTCCTCCTCCTGCCCAGACCTACGGCCTACGGCGCCATTGCTGTTTCTCTGGCCCCAGAGATTCCGATCTCTGGGGATGGTCTCTCGGGCCCCTCGGCCATGGACAGGAACGGTCCGCAGCGAAGAGAAGGACGAGGCGAGAGGTCTGGGGGCTAGGTGTGAAACAAACAAATCGTTTGCTGTCTGGAAGGCTTGAAAGCCCTCTCATCGCCGTCCTTCCTTCGCCGTCGTTCATCAGCTGCCCGTTGTTCTTATTATTCTTCTTCATCCTGTCTCCCTGCGTCCTCCCTCCATGTTCATCCGGCGCTCCTCTTTGGACTGTGAATGGAAGCCGCCATCCAAGTGCCAGAATGTTGGAAGCAGCTTGCACGAACCTGTGCGGCGCAAAGGCGAGAGCCGCATAGTTTCGGCTGGAATAGTTTCAGCCAACGTTCGCGCGTCAAGATCGGAAGTGGTCCTGAAATCACAGGCGACACGCCTGGACCCCGCACCAATCACCGACTCGTCTGGTGGTGCGACGACGAGGAGGAGTGAATCATAAGAACAAATGGCGCGGGCGAGGAGAGAGGAGAGAATAGAGGGCGGCACAAGGGAGGACGGAGGGGGAAGGAGGTGGGAAAGGGAAGGGAGGATAAAGGGGAAAGTGGAGAGCACGAGAAGAGGAAGAAGAGCAGGTGAGGAGGGATGATCATGAAGAGAAGGTGAGGACAGGGCGGCGAGGGAGGAGAATGCGGGAGGCACCAACGCGTGCCCGAAATACCCCCAAGATCATCCAGTAGAGCTCCAGACGGGCCCCCAGAGGCGAATGGGCCGACGACCATCAGGCGTTCGCCTCCGCTCGAAAGCCACCACTGCCCCCTGCCCCCCGAATCCCCCTGCCGCCCCCGACACGCAAGCGGTTCCCTCCTCGGAGTCGGCAGAACCGTCCGCAAGGCCTTGCCGCAACGAAACGGAGAACTGCGGCACGCGGCGGGGGACTGGACGGATCTGAAGCGATCGGGGAACACCAACCAGGGCTCCTGTCTAACGAGTGCGAAAGACGTGTTCGAGCATGCTCTTCACAGCGACGTCGCAAAAGGCATCACGCACCCTAAGAGAAAGCATTCGCACAGGCATGCAGTGCACCCCCGAGGGCCCTGCGATCTTCACAAACTGCTCTTCCGAAGTCCAGCGCGTGTCCCAAAACGTGTTCACATCGTGTTTCTTCCGAGTCCCTAAGCGTGGTCACAACTTGTTGCCTCGGTGTCCAACAGCGGGTGTTCGCAGGGTGCTGGCAGGGTGCCCAATGGCACTGCAGGGAGGGAAAGCGAGATGATGAAAGGAGGAGGAAGAGGAGAGAGAGGGAAGGAACGGGGATGGGGAAGGTGAGGGGCACAAATCTGACGGGAATTTCGAGGCGAATCCGGAGGCCCCAGGATGGCAGTGTGGGTACCCTCGTTCCCTCCTCCGAGATGAGAACCCAGGGACGGGGGAAGGGGCAGCAGGGAGCAAAGGCCAGGAGGTCGCAGCAGATGCCCCCGGACGCCGACACCCTCCGGTCCGCCGGGAGCCGGGGGCTGCCAGGTCCCGCAGAGGCGCAGCGCGCGCAGAGGCGCAGCGGGGCGCCAGGCGCACGGGGCGGGAGGAGGGGAGGACGCAGGGACGCACCTGGGGGACGGGCAGGTGGCGAGCAGCAGGCGGCGCGCTTGGAAGGCCCCGAGAGGCGGGGAGGGGAGGACGCAGGGGGACGCACCTGTGGAGGACGCAGGGACGCGAAGCGAGGGCGCGCATGCGTGCAGCGTCGATTTGGGACGAACAATTTACAAATACCCCCAAAAAATACTCCAAAATTGCCAAACAATACTTGAACAATCGTCCCTAGACCATTGAAACACATTTTTTAACATATTCCTCCTGTAGAGGGACACGCCCGACCGAAGTCAAAGGGGGGGAAGAAGGGGGGGGGGGGGGCAAGGGAGCGGCAGGTGGGGGAGGTGGAGGAGCGGGAGGGGAAGCGGCGGACGCGGCAGCGGCCGCGGCTCGGGGCGCGGCGCGGGCCGTAGTCGAAAGGCGGCGCCACGCCAGGGGGCGGGGGCGCCTCGGCTTCTCCGACCCTCCCCCGTGGGCGGAGCGCAGAGGGGGGCGGGAGGAACAGCTTCTGGGAAGGAGGCTGCTTCTCAGAAGGCGCCGGCCTCACATCAACAGACACGGCCAGGGCCTTCCGAGAAGCAGGGGTGCTTCTGAGAAGCCGTCCCACCTCCCCCTACCCCCCCTCCTCTGCGCGTGACCGACCCAAGCCGCCGACCGCGATGGCGACGGCGACGACGACGACGACGACGACGACGACGACGACGACGACGACGACGACGACGACGGCAACGACGACGGCGACGACGACGACGGCGGCGACGACGGCGACGGCGACGGCGACGGCGACGGCGACGGCGGCGACGGCGACGACGACGACGACGACGACGACGGGGGCCCTGGGCGGATCGACCTCCGACGGGCCCCACGGCCAGAGCTCTCGGCCGCGCGATCGGCGCATCGCGCCGCACTCGGTGCGCGCTGCGCGGGCACCTCCGCAACGCCGCACAACGCTGCAGCCCAGGCCGCGAAGCACTGGGCGCACCTGTCCTCGCACGCCCCGCGGGTGCCCGCTCCCGGTGAGGGCGCAATCCGCCGCGGGGCGCCAGAGAGCACCAACGAGCAAGCAGTGAGGCACGGGGAAAGCAACGGCACGGCGTGAGGGGCGACCCGATTGACGGCTTCCCCCCGAGATCCCGAGCACCCAAGTTGGTGAGTCAATTCTGGAGGAGGGGGCCGCCGAGCGACATCGCTGGCACCCGAAATTCGCCGGCCCAACGGGCCAGAGGAGTGCTAAGATCTCTGGCAAGAGGTTAACAACACTTCTTATTCGCGCGCGCGTGGCGGCCCCTGGGGATGCCTGGACGAAAAGTACCCCGGCGGATGCCCGGCTGACTCCCCCAGGGCGCTCCAGGAGCGCGCCAAGGGGGCGCCGGGACGCCCCCTACAGGGCCCAAGAGGCCCCGAGTCGCCGAAAGGTCGTTTTAAGACGCTCACGATGGTCTCCAGATGGCCCCAGAGGCTGCGAAAAAGCCCCAAGAGAGCCTCAAGAGGCTCTCCAAGAGGGCCCCAACAAGCAAACATCGCCCCATTCCCTTCGGAAAACGTACGTTGTTCGCATGTGCGACGTTTGGGGTTCACAGCGTCCAGAACTGCCCCAGAGGCCTCCAACATCGTCCCCAAACGGCCCAACACGCCCCCAAGATGGGCCCAAGAGAGCCCAAGAGGGCTCCAAAACGGCCCAAGAAGGCACCAAGACGGCTCAAACAAGAGCCCAAGGAGGGGACCAGGAACCGAAACGTCCCCAAGAGGCCCCCAGCAGGCCCCAAGAGGCCCCCAAGAGGCCCCAAGGGGCTCCCAAGAGGCACCCCAAGAAGCCCTCGGAGGCCCCCGAGAAGCCCCAACGCGGCCCCAGGAGGCCTCAAAACTGCCTCCCAGAGGCCCCCGAGAACCCAACCAACATCTAGAAGGCCTCTCGGCGAAGTGCTCCCACCGACTGCGAAAAGTGGCAGCCGCCCAACGGCAGCGGCGAGGCAACCTGGGCCGGCGGAGTGAGCGAAGCGATTCAATACGTAGCTCAATAAACAATGCCGAGGGGAGAGCGGCCCATCGAACCGATCAGAATCCGACTGGAATCCGACCGGGCTGCTGCTGGGTTCGCGCGGCAATCCTCCTGGGCTCTCGTTCAACTCCGATGGCGGCCTGGTTTGAGTCCTTTTGGGACCGTCAGGGGCCGGATATCACTTCCAATGGCGAGAAGCGGAGGGGGGGCGTGAATTGCTTCCAACTTTTACATAGGGTATGGGTGCCTTAGAAGGCAGCTGGACGCGAGAAATCCTCCAGAAGCCGAGCATGCGAAGACCTGAGCTACGCCACCGAACTGTGCGAGTCGCGACCCACGATGCGCGAAGCCCCCTCACCTTCGCGCCATCGCGCCCTCGCGCGACCTCTTTGGAGAAGAGCAGCCGGTCTGGCCTGGACAACGACATTCGAGGCGCGGTTATCTTCGTGTCCCTGCGGGGCGGGTGATGCCCTAGCAGAAGAAGGCGAATGGTCCTCAGACCGTCTGTTAGCGTAAATGTCCACCGAAGCCCTTCAATATGACGCATGCAATGCACTGGGGGCTATCGGCGGAGCTGAGAAACTGAGACACGGAAACCCCCCACACACACACACACACACACACACACACACACACACACACACACACACACACACACACACACACACACACACACGTCGGGCGATCGCAAGACTGGAAACAAACACTGGGCTAACACGCGCCCTGACGACGTCTCGTCGAGAGACCCGTGGTAACTCTCGAGAAGCCCGGGGCCCCGACCCACTCCCGACACGCTTCCCAGAGGGCCGCCAGCGAAAGGGGCCTCTGGGACCGCGGCGTCGCACCCCAGACTTCGAACTGGGCGAGCGAACGCGCCGTGCGCCGACCTCGCGGGCGAAGCCGAGCGGACTTGAGAAGTCGGCATCGCCCGTCTCACAGGTCCCTCTCCCTGGGGCCCGTTTTTGCAACCGCACCAACTTCTCCGTGCCGCCCGCGCTGGGGGCGGGGAAGGACCCGGCGGCCCGGCCCGTCCGAGGGCGGGCGCTATCTCGCCGGCGGGGGCCGCGGGCCACATCACCCTGCCGCGCGTTGCGGCGGCGCGAGGCGGGGGGGGGGGCGGCACGGGGGGGGGAACTAGAGGCCTCCTAGCTGGGGTCCGAGTAGATGGGGTCCGCATCGTCGATACATCGCCGACGCATCGCCGACCCCATCTACTTCGACCCCATCTGGGAGGCCTAAGGGCCTGGAGGAACGAGGCCAAAGTTCCTCCGACGGCACGGTCTGCTGCTCGGTGCGGGCGTCTGCTTTTCCACGAGGCCCGCCGCCCATGATGTCGGGCACCCCCGGAGGCCACCAAGAAGGGACCCGGGGCGGAGAGCTGCTCCCCGGAAGCGGTCTGCCCTTTCTTTTCGGGCAGTCATTGACAAAAAGGTCGCGTCGTTGGATGCCTGGGGCTCCCGCTCCTGAGCTCGTGCTCCAGTTTCTCGCCTGCTCTCCTCCTGCTGCTTCCTTCCGCCGAGGCCGCTGCGGTTCCACCTCCATCCCTCTTCCTCTGCGGCGATTCCTCCCTGCACCCCGAGGCCAGTCAAAAGGGCAGGCCGAGCGTTTCGCCTGCGGCTTCCTCACCATTTACGACCCTGAAGCTTAGAATTTGAAACAACTTCGCGGACGGAGGGCGGGTGGCTTTCAACATGTGGCTCTCGCCTACGCACCGCGCATACTCTGTTTAAAAATGTAACAGTATCACGGATGGAGGGCGGGTCGTTTTCAAAATGTGGCTCTCGCCTCAATGTTGAGCACAGTTGTTTAAACGTTTATAAGAGATTTATGAATGGAGGGCGGGTTGTGCTTAAGATGTGGCTCTCGTTTCACAAGTTGCAGGAGCGTTCTCAACATGTGGCTCTGCCCTGAGCGCCGCGCATCTTCGTCTTGAAAGTCTGCAATCGTTTAAATGGTTATCACGGCTAACGTCCCAGGAATGATGTTATTGGTACGGTGTCGGAATGTCAGGGCGTAACACATACGTTCATTCGCGGTGCTGAAATATCAGGGATGGCGTTCTGGCACCATTCTGGGGCACTTCCCTCACTGAAACAATTAAACCTTTTGGGGCCAATGATAAGGGAACTTTGGACGGAGGGCATACTGCAATCTCGTTGAGGATTCTTGGGTTTACACTGGTCCTCCTCCTCTTCCTCGTCCTCCTCCTCCTCTTCCTCTTCCTCGTCCTCCTCCTCCTCCTCCTCCTCCTCCGCCTCCCCTGCCTCCTCCTTATCCTCCTGCTTCTCCGCCTCTTCCGGCTCCTCCTCACCCTCTGCCTCCTCTGCCTCCACCTCCTCCAACTCTGCCTCCACCTTCTGCTCCGCGCGTGCCAGGCCGTTCGGCCACCTCCTGCTCGCCTCGCGCTGGTGGCGGCACCGCCGCCTCCCCTGCCTCCTCCTCTCCCTCCTCCTCCTCTTCCTCCTCCTCCTCGGTATCCTCCAGCTCCTCCTCGCTCTTTCCCATTGGCAAGCTGCGAGGCGCACGCACCCGAAGCATAGGCCTCCTCACCTTCTGCCTCCTCCTCCTCCTCAACCTCTTGCGCTGGGCAGACTGGGAGCGAAGCTCGTGGCGCCGCCTCATCTGCCTCCTCCTCCTCCTCCGCCGCTGCTGCTGCTTCTGCTGCTGCTCAGGCACCCGCTGGTGCCGCTCCCCATCCGACGCCCGTGCTCCTTGCATCAGGTCGGGCATGTCCTCCTACAGGGGGATTTTGGGCGACAAAGGAACACTTGTCAAAGAAAAGCCAACAATGATCAAAGCAAATTCCCCAAAAAACGTCCCCTTTGTATTTTGTTAACTATTTTGGCTTCATCCTTGCAGGCGGCGCCCCCCTCGGCTGCATAGACGGGCGGTTTTGGCCCGGGCGGCCCGGGCGATTTGTGTCAGAGGCTCTGCCACGAACACATGCACAGACAGCCTCCGACGAGCTCCGCGTGCACCTTCAGGGAGGGCCACGGTGCCTCAGTGGTGGTGAATACACCGCCACCCTCCCCTTAGGCCCAGGAGCGATCTACTGGAGGGTGCCTGCGTATTCCTTCTGTCCTGCCTACAGACCTCCTCACCACGCGTGATCCTGGGCAGTGAATCTCCCAGCAACTGCACGGGCGGGCGGTGATCTGCTCAAACAAGGTGGCGCACGCCTTGCTGCCGCGCACATCCACTTTACAGCTGCATTGAGAGCGGCCCCTTTCCTGCTCCATTTTCGAGTGTGCACCCATTGCACGATGTAGGGGGGACGATGCATTCCTTTTGAAAATGGTGACCTCCCTGGACACTCCGTCCAACTGTAGAACCCTAACTGGTTACAATCCGTCTTTAGTGGTATGACGGAGGCTGGAGCCTGACCAAAACGGGCCTCTCGACAAAACGGCAGGCCGATCGGGCGCTCCTCTTCGAAGGAACACAGCAAATATTCAAAAGGCGTGCTCGCGGGGACCACTGACTGGACTTGAGACGGGAGGGTGTTTTGCAGCGTGCGCCCTTGGTTTCCCGTCGTCGTCCTCCTTCTCCTCCTCCTCCTCCTCCTCGTACTCCTCCTCCCACTTCTCCTCCTCCTCCTCCTCTTCCTCCTCCTCCCTCCTACTCCTCATCAGCAGCAACATCGTCAAAACCATACTCACTGTCGCACTGCTTATCAGCAACATCGTCGCCATTACTATGATGGTGTACGCGCTAAAAGATGTGGCACCTGGCACCCAGTCCACGGATCGATTGGAGGGGTGCGGGTGGAACAGGAACGTGACCACGGGGACGCGGGAGGGACGACAAGGGGGGGGGGGTTGGGTGGGGGGAGAGAGAAGGGAGATAGGGGTCAGGGTGGAGTAGGAGAAGCAGGAACACATGCCAAGGCGGGCGACAACGTTGATGACGGCGGTGATTTGGCGGCGACGGGCGGGAAGGATCGCCAGGAGTGGCGCGACGTGGGCAGGTCCGCCGTGCAGTCGACGGGGAGCGCCACCACCCGCTCGGCGGCGAGTCCCTGGCGGCGGGGCGCACAGAGAGCGTCGTCGTCTCCATCACCATTACCATCATGGTCATGAGCATGATCATCGTCAGCGTCATCATCATCATCATCATCATCATCATCATCATCATCATCATCATCATCATCACCATCAGCATCATCATCATCAGCAGCATCATCAGCATCAGCATCATCATCATCATCATCATCATCATCAGCATCATCATCATCATCATCATCATAGTCAGCTTCATCATCATCATCATCATCACCACCACCACCATCATCATCATCATCATCATCATCATCATCTTCATCATCCTCTTCATCATCATCATCATAAACATCATCATCATCACCGCCACCATCATCATCAGCATCATCAGAACAGCCATCATCATCCGCATCATCATCTTCATCATCAACACCATCCTCGTCATGAATATCGCCCGTCGTCATCATCACCATAACCACCATCATCATCATCGCCGCCATTGATATCGTCCGTCGTGATCATCAGAATCATCAACTTCATCATCATCGTCTTCATCAACTTCATCATCATCAGCGAGATCAACATCCACATTAATTTCATGCGTACGTGAATCACCTTCATCATCAACATCACCATCGTCATCGACACCCTCGTCAACATCACTGATATCGTCCTTGTCATCATCGTTGCCGTTACAACCACCATGATCATCACAATGACTTTCGCAGGCATCGTCATGAGCAACTTCATCGTTATCATCAACATCGTCATCATCTTCGTAATCCTCGTCATCACCACTGTCACCCCATCATCACCACCACCATCATACTCATCGTCGGCATCATCACCTTAATCGTCACCGTCGTCGCCATCAACGGCAATATCATCATCGTTTCCATCATCCATCATGGTCATGGTCATCGTCATAGTCGTCGCACTGCCCTCGTTAACACGTCAGGTGGTGCCGCCCTGTATTCATACTCACGGAATTCCGCGCACAGCGCACAGCCTGACGGCTCGCTGCGCGCAGGAGGGAACTGCGCAGTTTTGCCCAATACACGCTGCGCTCAAGTAGCTTTCCAAAATGAGATGCAGATCCATGACCAGCACCACCAGATGCATCATCACCACCACCATCGGAGCACCCTCGGCATCGCCAAGAACATAACTACCCTTGCCATTTACCTCAACATCCGCACCATCCGCATCATCATCATCATCATCATCATCATCATCATCATCATCAGCAGCAGCATCATCATCAGCATCAGCATCAGCATCAGCATCAGCATCAGCATCATCAGCATCAGCATCAGCATCAGCATCAGCATCAGCATCAGCATCATCATCATCATCATCATCATCATCAGCATCAGCATCAGCATCAGCATCATCAGTATCATCATCATGGTCATCATCGTCATCAAAAACAGCGACAACAACAACCACCGCAACAACAACAACACTGACACCATTGAAACACTAAAACATCTGAGGCCTGGCCTCTGGCCCACAGCTCCGGACTCGGCCGGACAGACTGGCTGTCGGATCTGCGTAGGCCCGCACTCTGCTGGATCCCCCATCGGTCCTCGAAGGCCCCCCGACGCGGGCTGCAAACGACAACGGAGGAAGACACACCTCGGTCCGTGCTCGGGTCAAGAGCAGAGAACTGCCTTTCAGAGCCACCGCGAGTCTGCAGGCGAAGTGCCCCTGACCCAGACCTCGGGAGGATCGCGCGACGAATTTCACTTCGCACCCCCAGGGCGGGGAGGAAAAACGAAGGAAGAGACGGAGGAACGGGGCAAGGACCGAAGAGGCGCCAAACGCGCGGGAGGGGGGGAAGCAACAGCAACCGCAGCCCAGCAGTTATCAACGCGCACGCGACAAATAGAAACTGCACTATGAGTCGGCACATGCCTCCAGCAAGTGCACCGAGTCAAATCATACCAGCAGTTGTACTGCAAATGGCGCCGTTCCCCTACTGAAGGGGAGGGGACGCCACAGACGACGAGCACAGGCACGAGAAAGGAGGAACAAGCCGAGGAGGAACGCGAAGGAGGGAGAAGGAGAAAGCCAGGAGGCGAAAGAGACCCGCACGGGGCCGTGGGTTGTCGGCCACCAAGCCCGGGAGGAAGGAGAGGAAGAGGATCAGCAAAGCAACGCGGGCAGGTCGCCCTAAACATCGTCCCCCGCCGCCGCTCGGCGAGCGGGCCCTGCGCGGCAGCCAGAGCACGCCCAGCCAGGGGGCGCTCCACGTTCCCTCGGGACCTTGACGAGCTCCGGCCGCCGACGCGCGCGCTCGCCCTCCTCCTGGCCCGCCTTCTACACGCCCTCGCCCCCCTCCGCGCCCTCCTCCTCCTCTCCTTCTTGATGGACTCCTCCTCTTCCAGCTCAGCGGAGCGGCGCGAACGACGAAGTCCACAGCCGGGCGGCGCAAGCAACAGAGCACGACACCCGAGCCCAAGACCGCCCCCGGACGAACCGAGTCGACGGGAGTGACCTGCGCTGGGCGCGCGGATGTAGCATCAAAGGCGGGCCAGAAAAAACAACGACGAGGATGAAGGAACACGATGGGGGAAACCGACCCGAACCTGAGCTACACCAGCAAGCTATGCGCCTGCACGGCGCCAACCTCCCTGGTCGGACTGTCCCAGACTGATCCAAACTCGGACACAGACATCTGGCGCTTCGATGTCATCGCTGCGTGGGCACCTTGACCTCTCGACTCCTTTCCCAAGGCCGGTTCTCCGTCTCAGTCTCAAGTCGTTCTTTTGACGGCCCCGAGGCCCGAAAGTGGCCCCCTCAGGGCGACTATGACGACAAGCTGGCTGCGTCGATGTCTTCAAAGCGCCGGATGTCTGGGGACCTGCCCCCTGCCCGTCGCCGAGGCCCTCAGCCTGCCCTGTCCCCGACCTGTCCACGGCTCGGACGTGTCCCTGACCGTCCCCAACTGTCCTGAACTTGCCCTCTCCCCGACTCCATGTGCTTCCATGTTTAACATGTGTTTATATCTTGATTGTTTTTCGTTTGTTTTGTTTCCGCTATGCCTCCATACGTCTCCGCATGCAGCATTCGCTCACAACTTATTCCACACATGATTCTGCTTGCCTCGAATTTCGTGTTCCTTCTGTTGGCCTCCACATCTGCTTCCACTGGATGTATTTCGATTGCGCTTCGATCCCAGCGTGCGCCCACTTGCTTCCTTGTGATAACACTTGCCTCCTCGGGCCTCCGCTTATTTCCACGCGTGCGATCACACGCTTCCACATGCTCCTGCTTGTGGACTCCAGCTGCTTCCGTCCCAGGCATGCGACGACACGATGTGTTGCTCAGCATGCGGCCCCAGAGTTGCCGCCCCATTCCCCGCGGTAGCCTTGGGTCGGGCATGTCCCCCTACAGGCGGATTTTGGGCGAAAAATTAAAAATACCCCCCAAAATGCAAAATAACAGAAAACAAATGTCGAACATCGCCCCCTGACTATTACTTCACTATTTTTGAATATTCCCCCTGTAGAGGGACACGCCCGACTTCACGGTAGCCTGCTCCGCCCTGACCCCCTTCTGAGGGCCCTGGGGCCCGGAAGCGGCCCCCCGGGGCAACCTGCGCTTCTGCCCCGGCGCCGGCGAGCCTGCGGCGCGGTGAAGCCTGGGTGGGGTCGCGGCAAGGCGGATCGACACGAGAGAGTCGGGGGCGGCCAAGAGGGGGGGCGTCCAGGAGGGGAAGGCGCAAAGCATGGCCAGCGGCACGTGCGCGGCCCCAGGGGGGGGGGGACGTGTTGAAATGAGACGAGGCGCCACGAAATCTGGGGAGGCATCGTGGCCCCCGCCACGAGATGCCCCCCCCCTGGTCATCCCCCCCCACTTAAGCCGCCCCCGAGAACGGAAAACCTCTGAGCACAGCGGCCGGGGCAGAGGAGGAGGACGGGGCGGCGCACTCGGGCCGTGAAGGCCCTCGCGAGAGCCGTGCTGCGGCCTCGGGCCACCTCTGCCCCAGGCCGGGGGCGGGCCGGACGAGGGAGCCACAGGCGACGCGGCCGAACAGCACACAAACCCGCTGGAGGTCAGAGGCCCAGAGAGCCAGCGCCTTGAAAAGCTCAAGACGGAGAGCTTTCGCAGTGTTCGGCCTCCAGGGGCCCTCGCCAGGCCCCGGGACCGGCAGACAACGACTCGGGATGAGAAGCCGGTCCCGGGGAAGGGGTCGAGACTTCTGAGGAACCCGTATTTAAAATATAAAATTGGGCGCCAAAAGTTTATGAACATAAGCTTTTGGCGCTCCGCGCGAATCTCTTGGATCTGCGCTGGGCCCGCCCTCTTTGAGAATCCGCTCGCGCAGCTGATTTCCCCAGCGCACTGGCTTCCCGGCTACGCCCCAGGGCGAGGAGGAGGAGGAGGAGGAGGAGGAGGAGGTTGAGGAGAAGGAGGAGGAGGAGGAGGAGGAGGAGGAGGAGGAGAAGGAGGAGGGGGAGGAGGAGCATGCTTCCTTCTCGCCCTGCCTACGCCCGCGCGCCGCGAGGCTGGGCCGCAGCACCTGGCGGGGCGCACCAGGGGATGGGCGCCAGGGAGGCGGCCTTCTGTGGAGACGGCCAGGGGGGGGGGGGCTCTCAGAAGGCAGGGGCCCTCTCAAGAGGGGCGTAGCCCTAATTGTAAGTCGGGCACGTCCCTCTACCGGAGGAATATTCCAAAATGGGACGATGCTTTGAATTTGTTTTGACCATTTTGAAATTGACTATCTTTTCTTGTTCGTCCAAAATCCTCCCATAGGAGGACATGCCCGACCTAACCCTAATTCCAAGAGGGCCTCTCACAAGCCAGGAGGGCCCCGTCCAAGCACGCCCCTGCCTTCTGGAGGAAGCCCGCAGCCTTCCTGGCCGCCCCCCGCGCGCACCCCGCCCTGTGCAGGCACGCCCTAACTTGAGATCCTCGTTTGCGTGTCCTCGACTTGTGAGTGCGGGAGACTGGCTGCAAGAGTGACTCCAGGCAAGAGAGACACTGAGTGCGCGGCTTCAGGGTGGCGCGGCCAGGGAGGGGGAAGGGGGCCAACACACAAGCGCAAGCAAGCCGCTGCTCTCGCATCGCGGGGGGGGGGCCCGCCGCGCAAGCAACAGCCGCTGCTCTCGCACCCCATCCTGCCATCGGGGGGCCCCTTGCAGGCCCGCACCGAACAGGGCACTCCCGCGAAGGGCCGCCCCTGCGACCCGGCGCACAGATCGCGCCACAGTCGGCCCCGAGCGCGCGGGCGCCCCGCGCGGTGGCGCCCGCTGCTCCGGCGCGCGGGGCGCGCGGCGCATCGGGGGGGGAGCGTGCGGGGGCGCGCCGGGCGGCCCTCGGACCACAGCGTGGACATCGGCCGGCTGAACTTCTCCTCGACCGCGGGGACCTCGGGCCCGCGGCCACCCCCGAGGGGGCAGGGAGGGCAGGGAGGAGGACCCATGTACCTCCTCGCGTCGCGAGTGCAGCGGACGGCTCTGGGCCATCGTTTGTTTTCCGGCGGGGCCCTTGCTGGGCCCCGGGGCCGTCGCAAAACGGCCAGGGGTGAAAATCCAATCCCATAGGGAGTGGCCCGAGACTTCCCGGGGGGCCGCGTGAACAAAAACGCGACGTCGAAGATCTGGAGGCGGTGTGGAGGACGGGGGGAGGAGAGGGCAAGTAAGGAGGAGAGGGGATGAGTGGATGTAGGTATGCACTGTGTCATGAGAGGCCCGGATTGTAAGGCCTGGAGGCCCAACACCAGCAGCAGCGCGGGAAATTCAACGTGAGCAACACTCCAGGAACGCAGGCTCCACTGCCTTCCAGCTGCGACGGCGTTGACCCTCTTCGAACGAATATACGCCACGTAAAAAAAAGAAATGTAGTGCACAATTCCGAGTGCCAACTATTGAGCCTGGTCGCATAACAATTAGCGGTCAGAGCGCCCACCCAAACCAGGGCGAAGGTTTTGAAATGCAGCCCCATGCCGGATCCATTGAGAACTCGGATTATGACAAATACCACCAGCCCTCTGGGAGTAGGTGGTCTCGGGAGGTTCCTCTTCCAAACCCTTTCTTCCCCTTCGAGGAGGGGCTTCTCACTGTTCCCTGTGAATAAACACACCCTCTCCCACCTGGCCGGCAGCCAACCCCGGACCATGCGCACACCATGAGGGCCCCTCCTCGACCATCCCTGTCAAAAAACTCTGCCTCCGAATTCGGAGCATGCGCAACCAACCCGATGCGGGCCCCCATCACCATCGCTGTCAAAAAACAATACACAGTACACTTTGGGGCAAAGTCAGGAGTCATGTTCGTGAGGCCCGCGGGCACTTTTTATTGTTTTTCGACAGGGACGGCGGGGGTGTCAGCATATTGCCCGCTGCGCGCAGGGCTACCATCCCTGCTAGACACACCATACAAAATGCACCTCGCGGCTAAATGTGGATAGTGTGCGGCCACCCCGCGATCATTGTCAAGTGGTTTTTGTCAAGGACGGCGGGGGTGGTGGCGTATGGCCTGCTGTGCGCAGGCCCACCAGACACAATGATGGGCATTGGTTGTCGACAGGCATGGTAGCGACATGTTTCCCAATGTGTGCTGTCACGTGCGCAGGCGCACCTGACACACTCTGCACGTGCCCGGGACGTGGCACACCTGGCGCGGCTGGAGGGAGCATCTGGCGCACTGGGCGTGCCTGGCACGCTCGGGCCCCAGGGGTGCCTGGCGCGCGTGGTGCGCCTGGCACACGTGGCGCACCTCGCCCCAGCGTCGCGCACATGGGCTCGGTTTTGGTTCCCAGCAGCTGCCCATCAAAACACGACAGCGGAACATGCTGAGGCTCAGGTGATGCTTATGTTTTGAGAGGGCGGGTGGACGTGAGCCAGACGGCTTGCTATTTGGAGGGTCTTGACCCCTCCCCCTACCCCCTCCCCTGGACCTGGACGGGGGGGTTGGCGAGGGGTTGGAGCGTCCAAGATGGCCCAAGACGACTCCAACGAGGCCCCTGAGAGTCCAAGATCAGCTGCATTGCTTCGCACGATGATCCCAGATGCCCCTCGATGGTCCTCGCCGAGGAAAACACACACACACACACGCACACACATACGCGCGCGTCGGAGCGATGCCTGGCCAGGCCCCGGTCCTGCCCACCGCCAGCGCCCGCCCGCCGCGCACCGGCCCGGGGGGGGGGCGGCCTGCGGGGGCGGGAGCCGCTCGTCGCCCCGCCGGGCGCACCAGTCCAGGAGGTTCAGGTGGCACAGCTTCTGCAGCCGCTCCGTGGGGCTCCCAACCTCCCCCGAGGCTCGGATGCGGGGGAGCAGAGGGAGCAAGAGGAGGAGGAGGAGGAGGAGGAGGAGGAGGAGGAGGAGCAGGAGGGAGGAGGGAGGAGGAGGAGCAAGAGGAGGGAAGCAGAGGAGGAGGAGGAGGAGGAGGAGGAGGAGGAGGGAGAGGAGGAGGAGGAGGAAGAGGAAGGAGGAGGAGGAGGAGGAGCAGCAGCAGCAGCAGCAGCAGGCGGGGAGGGGAGGGGGAGGAGCAAGCGACGGGGGGTGGGACTGCACGCGCCCGCCATGCATGGCTCTCGCTGCCCGTGTCCGTACCTCCTGTCTGCTGCTCGCTGTGTCCGCACTCCACGCGCGGGGGCAGAGAAGCGGCAAGGGGAGGGGAAGCGGGAAGGAGGAGGAGCCCTCAGAGCGCCCTAGAGCTACCTGACGTGCATCCCCGTCAATCCCTCTGAAATCCTGCTCCTGCCTCTTCCCCCTCCTCCACCTCTCCTCCACTCCTCCTCACGTCCCCCTCCTCCTCCTCCTCTTTCTCTTCCTCCTCCTCCTCCTCCTCCTCCTCCTCTTCCTCCGCCTCCTCTTTTAACCACCGCCCCGTCCTCATCCAACCCCTCCTCCATCGTAGAGACTCCTCCTTTTCTTCCTCCTCCTCCTCCTCCTCCTCCTCTTGTTCTTCTGACTCTTCTTCGTATGCCTATTGGTATTCTTAGTTGTACGCATGATGTACTTATCGTATGTATTAATTATGGTTGCGTTGATGCATGTGTTTATGCAGTTGTTTATAACTTCGTGTATGCATTAATGGAATTTACATGTGTGCTGGTTGCAGTAATGATGCACGTGTTTAAGTATGTATGTATGTATGTATGTAGGTATGTGTGCATGTATGTGCTGATGACTTCATTCATGCAGTTATTATATATAGAGATTCCCGTATGTACTTGTATGGTAATGTGTTGTGGTGTCAAGGTGTTCATGTGTGTATGTACGCATGCAGGTATGAATGTGTTTGCGTTTGTGTGATGTGCCATATTTGTGTAGTTGTCCAGTTGCGTTTGCGTATTTGTGTATGTAGTTGTCTAGTCATGTATTGGTTCCTGCCTTATTCGTATGTAATAGGATGATGGCTGTAGCAGAAGTACTACTACTATTACTACTACTGCTACTGCTACTACTACTACTACTACTACTACTACTACTACGACTACTACTACTACTACTACTACTACTACTACTACTACTACTACTACTACTACTACTACTACTACTACTACTACTACTACTACTACTACTACTACTACTACTACTACTAACTACTAACTACTACTACTACTACTACTACGACTACTACTACTACTACTACTACTACTACTACTACTACTACTACTACTACTACTACTACCACTACTACTACTACTACTACTACTACTACTACTACTACTACTACTACTACTACTATTACTACTTTTACTACTTGTACTGCTACTACTACGAATACGACGACTACTACTACTAATACTTCTACTTATACTTCTACGTTTTCTTCTACTACTACTACTACTACTACTACTACTATTACAACTACTACTGCTGCTGCTATTAATAATACTATTACTACTCCAATCCTTATTCTTTACTAGAATATACTCCTACTCCCCCCTCAGGCCGGCAGATAGGGGGCCCATCCGGGTGGTCCCATCCTAACCTGTAAAAAAACAATACAAAATCAATATTTTTCTTTTTTTTCCCTCTCGACATGGACGTCCTGTCGTCCACGGCGATAATCCATTGCAAAAAATACAACAAAGAGCACACGCGCGCGTTCATGTCAGAATCCTACCGAACACCGTGTGTTTGCAAGCATTCCAACATAAAAACATCGAAAACCCAATGTTTTTTCACAAAAATTCTACACATTGCCTGCCCGGGCTCTCTTGCTGAAATCATAGGCAAACCATAGGAATCTTAAGAATTCGGTCAAATCCAGCGATTTCACGTCATCGCGCGGTGCACTCGCGATGCTCTGTCATGCACCCAGGCCGCGAATCCTGTGCAAAAAATACCACGCGGGCGACATGCGCGCGCGTCGCAGAGAGCGCGTGCTCAAATCCTTCTAGAGTCGTCGCCGTCATTGGCACCGTCGCATGGACGTCCTGTCGTCCACGTCGCAAAATGCATGGCAGGAGTGGGACCCGGCTTACCGGGCCGTTCTCGACACGGCCACCTCTGGCTTCCTGCGGTGTACCGGGC